GAGACTCGTGGTGTGGTCCGAGCATCATGGTGTGGGGTGGAATTGGTCTTGCACAGAGGGTCGGCCCTGTATTCTTCCAGAACATCGATCCAGGAGAGGCAATGGTGTCAAAGCAGCTCGGTACATTGATCAAGTCTTGAGACCACACGCCATACCTCATTTGGCACGTCGTCGCATTCACGAGTTTCAGCATGATAACGCCCGTGCCCACACTGCGAGAGCAACAAAAGACTTCCTCCGGCAGAATGGCATCAGAACCATGCAGTGCCCTGCCCTCAGTCCCGATTTAAATCCCATTGAGCACATGTGGGACGAGATTCAAAGACGGCTGAATGACGTCCGACCAAGGCCGACAACTGCAGCTGAACTGCGTCAGGCGTTCCTCAGAGTGTGGGCTCAGGTGCCTATGGCCTTCATCAACCTCCTCATCCATTCCATGTATCGACGTTGCACGGTAGTCATCAATGCACATGGCGGACACTCGAGATACTGACTTATGAAGCCATTTTCTCAGAGACTAGTGTTGTGTTTCCCCCTAGGAAAATTTGACACTTTAATTTCAACCTTGATGATCAGTTTTGCCAAGTTTCATCTGTTTAATATGTCTCAAAGTATGTTTACAGTGTTTGGACAAAAAAGTTTTCTCATATATCTATCCATGGTGGCGTTTCTTTTGAGGTTCAGTATATAGTTATATGTCACTAAATTTTAAATGATCAAGGAATTAAGTGTTTTCCGTGTGGGATAGTGGTGTACAAAGTTGAAATATCAAATTTGGAATCCACATGGTATTTAATTCTTTTTTATTTGATAAAATTCAACAACGGCAGAACTTCTGCTTGTTATGAGTTTATGTAATATTTTTGGTTTCTTTCCAAAACACTGTCATATGTAACGTAACGTAACGTCGATAATTTTATAATCTATTTTAGGCATTTTAAGGCTTTTCATTTATAATTACTTGACTTACGACATTACGAAAATGAAATTCCAAACCAATAGTGATAATTAATAACTACTGGGTAGTGAGAAAAATGTAAAACATGCCCAGGTCAACAATTATTGAAGCAAACAAACCCGGAAGCAGGAGTAAACAACGGTTACTGCACACATATACTGTTTCATACCGTGCCCGAAATGTTTGTCTCAGATAAACATATTTACAAGAATCTACTTTGGAAAAAAATGTTCCACGTTAGTGAAATTACCCGTCGGTGGATCCGTAAACCAAGCGTTGCAACTAACGCGCCTCACAACATTCACATTTTGCGAACACCTGGCAAGTGACTTACTTGTGCCTCTGTTCACCTAGCAGCTTGGGTTGTATACTCCCCAGGAAGTTGAGAATCATAACTGGAATGCGAACGGATCCACTGGTCGGGGAACAAATGCAACCACATTTGAGCGGTATGTAATAATAATAATGATAATGATAATGATAATTACTGATAGATTCACAAGCACAGGATAAAGTCGGAATCAAACAATGGACATTGTTTTTAGTAATAGGGTTATGGGAATTTGTTTGTCACACTTACATACGTATTTACATCACTGTCCACGTCAATTTTAGTTTTCGCATGTCTTGCAATCAGCGAAATAGTGGTCGCACGTACATGTACCCAGACAAGGACGAACGGGTCTATGGCTGCTTGGCTAACTGTTAACATATTGAGTGCATGATATGCTATCTCCTTGATCCAAGTACAAAATTAAGTGCAATATTGAACGATGTCATCCATACCAAATAGTTGGATCATTGCATATGAGTGAGTGAGTGAGTGAGGTTTGATATAAGGCAATGAGTTAATTTCGTAAGCGTCGCTTTGAACGCTATCAATAAATCAGTCTCTAAATAGTATTTGAATTATAATAATTGTTTCTAATGGTAGGGCTACATTTGTGGGATGCTAGATAATTTTTTCGAGCATTGGCTTCCTACCATTGCAGGATATAATTCATATGTTTCAGTTTAGATTTTGTTAATTTCTGTAGAGAATATTCCAGCAATATCACGGCGGGGGACACCAGAAATGGGCTTCACGCATTGTACACGTGTCGGGAATCGAACCCAGGCCTTCGGCGTGACGAGCGAACGCTTTAACCACTAGGCTACCCGACCGCTCCTTTAATTTCTGTAAAGTGTACCGCATCTGTGTATTGCTTCATTTGCATCTTGTCATATCAATATCTGAATGAGAGGAGAGCATGATCGGCATGCAGATCAGACGTGTTATCAAGCTGGTTTATTTCTAACCTAGTTATCACTGAAGGTTAGTCATACGAACATTAAGGTAAACACCTGGCCTGGGGCTGTGAACAGGGTTCGGTACAGTTAACTCTTCTCTTAGGTTCGAATCCCATATTCTTCACGACTATAACCCTTGGTCCCATTCGTCACCACTCGCCGCTTTCCGCAACCTGCAAGAAAACTCGTCCCCCTATCGATGAATGTTATGTGCGAACAAACGACAAACCAATCAGAATGCGCGTATGATTTCAAGTTCTTTGGCAAAGAATCCTTTTGATTTTACATATGTCTTGCATCTAAAAATATACCCAAGACACAGATAAATGCGTTCAATCATACTGTATAATTCCGCACGTCCCGATGTGCTTTAAATTGCATCTGAAATATATATACTATATGGGGAAATATATGTGAACCATTACACAACGAGTTGACAATTGTTTTGGGTATGCCCGTTTGCGCTGAGACGGAACCCGGTCGCAAAAATGGCCATGAGAGGGGCTCGAGTCGCTGTTCGGCTTGTCCCGGAATAACACGAGTTGGTCACGAATGGAGTCGCTATTCGGCTTGTCCCGGAATAACACGAGTTGGTCACGAATGCCTTGGTCCATCATAACAATTTGGGCTTCACGACCTACGTCACTTCCGGTTTTCCTCCCATAAGATGCCACGCCCTGATATCAGGGAAATACACTTAAGCATACTCATTCACGCAAGCTAATCCTAGTACTAGCTCCATCTCTCAAGTAAATCCATCTTCATCGTGCTTTAAGTGCATATTTAACCCTATTCCAAGGGATATCATCTAACGATGTTAAATTACGCATTCCAAGTACGTGCATACTTCCTGAATTCTGCAATGACAACTCATTAATTCGATAATAGAGTACATGTATATACATATTTCAAACACTTATGCTACTGAAAGGAAGTTAGGAACACATTTTCACATAACTATAGTTGGCCTGTTATGACCAGTCCTTTGTAGCCGGGGTTCGATCCCCGGCCGCGTCATACCAAAAGACGTTAAAAAATGGTATTTGTTGTTACCCTGTCTGGCGCTCGTCATTAAGGAGCTAATACAAGGACTGGTCGGCTCGGAGTCAGTACACTGTGTCTGAGTGGGGTATTCATGTTAAATTGCGGCATGGTATCTCAGTGAGCTAGCACTATAAATCGGCATCAGTCCGGACTTGTACAAGCAGCCACACAAACACACACACGTACATGCACGTCCCTATATAAGTGCAATAATCTAGGACGCGACGTTAAACTCATTTCACCTCACCTTACATAACGCATATGCTTTAAAATGTTAGTTACGGAGTATACATGGTAGAATGAAAGAATGATATGACCTGACATTTCGTATTCTTTATCGTCATGAAGTTCATTTGTAATGTATACAATACTACGTTCAATTGTATGTATTTATTAATTTATATGTGCGCATTTAGAATATTCTGAATGTGGTTTGTTTATTTTTATAGCAGCGCTATATTCCTCCAGAGGAAGAGGAATAATCTACACCCCAGTGTCACCCACAGGGTACAAAACTTATTATTTTGTCATTATATTGCAATTGTGTTAGACTCATAGTTTCTCCATCTTTAGTATTCAGTTTGTTTGACTTCATCGCAACGTGTACGTTACCATAAAGTATTTGCCTTGTGTTTGACTAATCAAGGGGTTATCGTTCTTGGATGGTTGCCTCAATCAAAATAATAAAGTCATTATTACTCCTTTTGTAACAGAAATGGTTTGTGATATTAATTTGTTTATTTATTTATATATGTGTATATGTTTATCCTGAACCAGTGGGGGCACGGGTGGTCTAGTCGATTCGCTGTGCAGAGTTGCGTCCCTTGGGCACCCCAGAAACCTATGATTGTGGGTTCGAATCCAGGTTCGCCCCGATTATGGTTCTAAGTTTGTCAGCATCATACCCGTGCTCGTGGGTTTCACCGAAGTGGTAAACGTCTGAGACCTGCATCACTTCGGGCTTTCCTCCCACATTAAGCTGGCACGCCGCGATATAACTGGAATACTGTTAAAAGCGGCGTTAGACCCAACTCACTCACTGAACTAGTGTGTATTCTTTATACATGTGTTTCAGGGTGTCTGTCTGTCAATAGACAAAGAAATAAAGTATCACACCCGTAGCCCGCGTCTGGTCTTCCTGTACACCTACACAATCCCGGTAACAATATAATAAAGAACTTCGATTGTCTGTCCAACATATTCCATTGACCGAAACAGGCGAAATATTGCTGAAAATTATATCAAAGGATCAGTGAAGACACCAGGTGTTCGCGAAAGGGTAAAGTACTTCACTTAACCACTAAAAGAAGAGACGGTAGTATATGTGTGGAAAAATAGTTACCGCATATATTTTTCATCAATTTTTCTTTTCACCTCAACCAACGATCCTATGTTTTTGAAACAAAGTTGTAAGCCAAGTAAAGACAATTCATAGACCTAACACCAGGTAATTTATAAGTTCACTTCAATGTAGGTAGCTCCTTCACACAAAAATAATGTCACACGTAATTGATACCTTGTCACGAAATGCGTTTTATCGACACTGCGCGTGCCATACTGAGTCAGACAGCGCTGTTTTTTCATGGTGTATACAAGTGTTATCATCAACCACGATAAGACGCTCCACAGCGGGGCTGCTATCGTTTTCGTCCCAGCTTTCGCTGATATGACGTGAGATACATCAAGGATATATCACTCATCACATGTTGTTTGACACTCCACACGTGATTGAATCAAAACCAAGTAGGTAGCTACGACTCCTGAAGACTGGGACGTCATACTGCGTCGAGAGTTGGAGCTTCATTGGGTTCTGTATCCAGATCGTAACAACTCATATCGTGAGAGATGGTGTCGATTCTAGTCACTGCATTTATCCGTGATGTTTTTTAAATCGGATGGTTACATGTTGGCAGATGAAAATGACAGGAGGTGTGTCTTTTAACAAACTGTGTCTCTAGTTTGAAGAGGATAGGTTTCTCGTTACTAGTGACATGTACCATGCTTAACCATATCCTGGAGACACACGTAGAGTACACATGGAGGTGCTTAGCCTATGAGGCCAAAGGATACAGCTTAAGATCAGGATATACCACCAAAAAGGGATTGAAGAATTCGGCGTGACCTTATGAAACAGTACCCTTGTGCGGAAAAATTGTCTTCATAAATGTGCCTCTTCATATAACCTGACCGAGACTTATTGAAATAGAGGCATACGTGTTGAACCTAACCATATCCGTAATTTTCGCAACCTTTTCATCTTGAGTTTCTTGAGTATCATGTATTTACAGCCTTAAACGACCACCGTGGAATGTCAGGTTTAGTTCGTTGTAGGACGATGAACGAAGACTTCTGGCCCTCGCGGAGATTACACAGGGGCTGTAACTCTAGCAACCTAACAACGGAAGTGACGTATACAGAAGACATGGTATCCAAATGGCTGTGGAAGACTGTCGCGCCATGCTTGCTGTTGATAGGCACGACTGGAAACAGTTACGTCATAGTAATGATGTTCCGTCTGAAACACAAAATGAATAAATGCATTCGTTTCAATCTTTTAACGCTGTCATTCACAGACATCGTCATACTAATAACTGCACTGGGTAGAGTCTGGCTTGATTATATGTTCAACGTTGACATACGGACGATCTCAGACGTGGGCTGCATGCTGCATGTGTTTATTCAATATACTTTCACAAGCATGTCGTCATGGATACTTGTGTCGTACAATCTTGAAATGTTCATAAGTGTTGCCTTCGCATTCTACGGAAAGTCATGGAATACAGTAAGGAAGGCGAGGCTGAGGCTCCTCCTCGTCTTCACATGTCTCGCCTGTCTTAATTGCTTCTCCTTCTGGACTCTCGGGCTGAGAACTGATGGCTCCATCACTAACTGCCAGTCCAACTCCATCGGCATTGATGTCTACCGTGTAGATGTTTACGTTTGGGTCTACATGATCTTCATGTCCTTATTGCCATTTACCATTCTGACGCTGCTTAATATTTTGATCATAAGGACAGTTATCCATTCTAAACTTCCAGATGGTGCTAAGCATGGAGGCAGAGAAGGAAAGGGAGATCGTAGACTTCATAGACTGGTACTGACCACAACTTTCTTCCTGGTTTCCACGTTTCCGTCAGCTGTTGTCGTGGTAACGAACTCATACACGTGGAGCGAGTGGGACGAGCGTGTCCAAGCGAGACTCTACCTGGCGTGGAGCATCGTGGCGTTGCTTCACTACACAAACCCTGCCTTCAATTTTGTTATTTACACGTTTCATAAGGTTCGAGAGGAACAGCAGAAACGTGAACTGTCAAAGAGGTATGGTTTCTATTTCAATACTTGCCACTAAATCATAAATCGAGTGCTCGGGTAGTCCAGGTTCAAATCCTGATCAAATAGGTTCGACCTGATTATATTGCTAGGTTTATCAGCACCATAACCGTGCTTGTTGGTTCAGTAAAAGTTGTAAACGTTTAGAACCGTCAAGCCTGCGGGTTTCCACCCCATCAAGTGGTTCATCTTCCTGAGGCAAGAGCGTCCAATAGCCTTTTTTTTCAAAGACTTCTTTCCACCCTTGCCACACCAAGCCCACTTTCCTGTGCTTAACATGATTGGACTATCGCACATATCAATAGTCCAATCAGAGAACGTTTCACAAAATCAAGATTCACGACTGGTACACCTTTGTAAGAAAGTGATTTACCGCTGCCTTTCTTTGTTGACACGATTATTTGTTTTTCATCTTTTAACCCCCCAACGATTGCCTTTGTTTTTGTGTCAGGGATGAAATCGCGAATGTTTTCGTTATCTGATCGACTAGATCGCCACCTATGGTAGTCTATTGAAGCTGTACGAGATAAGAACGGCGATCTGATTTGATGTTGCGTTTTTATTACAAGGGCAACAACTCGTGATCTACGAGAGTTGATGACAGGGTCGAGCCAAGAAAAGTGGCCTTGGTGTGGCAAGGGTAGAAAATAGGTTTTGATTTTGGCTTGTGAACACGCTTGCCTCGTGAAGAAGAAAACTGATACGCCGTGATATAACTGAAATATTATTCAAAGCTGCGTTAAATCCATCCCCTAAACCGACCCAGTGAAACATAAGTGTTTTCCGAATTACTATCTGTTAGCGGCTGATATATTGTTAAAATAACGTCACGGTTGTCTACATGAAATTCGGTTATAACACAAGTTTTGACTTAAATTTTATTGAACCAACTTTAATTACCTAAGCGTCAAAGCGACGCCGTGAATTTATTTTACTGTTGCTTTTCACTAAATTATGCATACTGCTGCACCAGAATATTGGCTAAATTGTTGGTACAATATTGAACAATATATATCTTCTTTCATTCTAGAAGATCACAAATGTCACGGGGGTTCTCGACGGTCAGCCAGCGGTCGGGGCTGCCTTCAGCGCCTAAACATCACCCCCAGAGATCATTACATGCATACAGACACAGATATCTCCCCAAGGTGATTTTAAAAGCCACAAAACTATCCATGTTTCCTTTGTCTGGAAAACCAAACCCTCAACATTGCACAGACGCAGCTGTTCAAGAACATTATGATGAAGGCGTGTGACTTTCAACATCTCACAATAGTGTGTTATTTCTCCCACGGACTCATTATTACCCCATCGTCTTTCATATATTTCCGACGATAACAGTTTAAAAGAAGACATGCAACTGTATGGATAAAGACTTGTATCGTTTATTACTTTATATTTATATTTCTTTGTCATTTCGGCATTTGATGTAAGCGTAACACTGCCTGACACAGCGTGCGGAACCGCCGTCCATCCGTAAAAACATTAACGCGTTCGCTGGATTCAAGCATCTTGACAATCCATTTGATCAAAATGTTTTATAAGATGCATTGCAGAAGAAGTCACGATATCTGTCTTTCAGTGTTTAAGTTTGGTTTATTGGGTTATTCGGTTCAAATTCTCCACGCTCCTAGTTTCAAGGTAATCAAATATACTTATGGGTGTGAGAGTTCAGTATACGATATCCTATTTTGAGACATCACTATCTAAGCCTGGTCTGCGTGGAGCCTACCGAACGATTTAACGACAATCGCCAAGAAAAAACACTTGGATCATAAAGTATAACCAGTTTAAACGGCACTCTAAGTCCAAAGGCTGTGTATGCGTTTGTAAGCCTTTAAAGCCGATTTGAACAGTAGATCCAGCGTGTCAGAGGGGAGGATGCAGGCCAATTTAACGAATTCCATCAGCACGCATTTGATCATGCAATATAACGTTGGCTATCTGGGATTCGAACCCGAAACCAATAGATCCTGGCAACAAAGGGACGCTACTTCGTGTAACACCTTAAGCCACTGGATCACTGGTGTTCTTACTTGACGTCTTAACCGCAAGCTCCAATGTTCATACAGTTTGGTCCTCAGTGCATGGAAACGTATACTCCAGTGAACTCACTTAAAGTGAAAATCAAGTCTTCAGTAATTCTGGACATAATTTGCAAATTTTGAGGGAAAATGGCCAATACAGTTACTGAAATTCGGGGTAGAATAGGTCTTGTGCAACCCATGCTTGCCCTAAAAGGCGACGATGCTTGTCGTAAGAGGCGATTAACGGAATCGGGTGATCAGGCTCGCTGATTTGGTTGATGCATGTCATCGTATCCCCATTGCGTGGATCGATGTTCATGTTGTCAATCACTGGATTGTCTGGTCCAGACTCGATTATTTACAGACCGCCGTCATATAGGTGGAATATTGCCGATTGCGGCGTTTAACAACAAACACACAATATATAACACTTTGTCTATATGTCAGGTAATATGAATATTTTTCTATACAATATATTATAGGAATTCTGTCCGACTGCAACTCAAAATCATTTTGTTTGTTTGTGTGTTTCTTTCATGAGCATTGATCAACCCAATTGGGATACGATGACATGCATCAACCAAGTCAGCGAGCTGACCACCCAATCCCGTTTGTCGCCTCTTACATCACGCAATGGTTGCTGAAGACCAATTCTAAACCGGATCTTCACGGGTCTCTCACAATCACATACTCATCCTGACAATGTACGTGGAAACAATTACATGTAAGTCTGAAATGTAACATCCAACTAAAATTATTAAAAAACACACAGTATGTTTATCTCCTTTCTACCATAACTAAACAAAACGCGAACTCTTTGGTGTCAACAAATATATTGAGTGAAGCGGCATGGGTTGAGTGCAGGGGTGCGTTGCAAAGCGCCAATCGCTTACATAAGATGTACAGCGATTCGCCTTTCAGCGCTAACTTTCAGCCGCTTGCAATCTAACCAATCGCTGACTGAGGTCGCTTCGTTCTCCAAAATGGCGGCTGAGTTTGACAGCGGAACAAGACATTCTTGACTGGACCAACGGGGAAATGAGGAAACGAAGCTAACACCCCATCATCCTCAGTCCGCACCACGTCTTCAAAGTAGTCATAAATTTCTCCGTTCGTCATCGAGCCTCTTCTGTTACGTTCGTCATTAGGACAAGGCAACCAAGCGGTAGTTACGCCGCCATTTTGGAAGAGTGCGCAAGGGCTTCGAACTGTTGCAGACCCCGGGATCATTCGTCACCATTCGCCCCTTTCCGTAACCTGCAAGAAGATCGGCTTGTCCCGGAATAACACGAGTTGGTCACGAATGACCCCAGGATGAGCGATAAATTTACTTACTCTAAGTGATTCGAGGCTTGCAACGCGCCCCTGTAATTTGAGCGAGTTGTCGATATGAATGTACGGAATCACCGACAACAGCCTTAAAACAAAATATGGCGCTATATATGCTCAAGCAGTTTGTATTCACCGAAATGCTTCACTCGAACAAATAATCAGGCATTGAAAGCATATGCAAACGGCAATTTTGTAAGCTAAAATAATACATGAGGTGGGCACCCCTTAAGAAAACTGAGCAAGACTTGCAAAGCTTTCAATCTACACCGAACACCATAATGACGTCACATCGCTCATTGTGACGCAAATGTTATGACGTCACAGTCGTATATAGAAAAGTGCCAAACTACAAGCTCTCTGTTGTCCCCAAAACTTAATAAAAATTATTCATTCTTTTTGTAGATTTCTATCGTGTTTTCTGCACGGTATGTATTGCACACATCCTTTGAATATTGTAGTAACCGCAGCTTTGCATTTGGTAACCTATAATTGTAGATATAATCATTCAAATGTGCCTACCGATACTGACTAAAAAAGTACTTTTCCTTGAATATTAGCTTCCGCGGTGATACGGCTGTCAAATCGGCTATTTCAATCGGAGGGGGTATATTGTGATTTGAGAACCTGAGTACTTTCAAAATTCTAGGGTATGATAATTATGTGTCACATATTCAATGAGATTAAACAGGTCCATGTACAAACTGTATAGGTAGTTTGAGCCTCTATGAGATCATAAAAAGTATCTCTCGGGCCGGATTGTGAAGGCAGACAGTTAGAAATGGAGTTATCACTCCACCCGTGTCCTGTATTATAAATTTGTGTAGGAGATGAATTTTGTCTTCATAATTTGTCGTAACTTCTATGAGGTGAGATGAGATGGGGTTTAACGTCGCGTCCAACATTATTGCACTTATATGGCGACGTGCATGCATGTGTGTGTGTGGCTGCTTGTACTTGTCAGGACTGATGCCGATTTATAGTGCTAGCTGTCTGAGATACCGTGCCGCAGTTTAACATGAATACCTCACTCAGACACAGTATACTGACTCCGAGCCGACCAGTCCTTGTTTTAGCCCCTTAATGCCGAGTGCCAGACGGGGTAACACCAAGTACCATCTTTTAACGTCTTTTGGTATGACCCGGGCGGGGATCGAACCCCTGACCTTCCGCTCTCCGGGCGGACGCTCTACCACTAGACCACGGAAGCGGTTCGTAACTGTTGTGGTTGACTTAGAGAATATTATATCCCCAACTGAATAAGTGTCAAATGCCTTTTTAAAGAAATTTTGAAATATTGCTAAAGTAAATTCGGGTCGCAAACCTAAGAAAAGAGAATGAAAATTATAAACGAAAGTTTATCAAGACCTGTTGATATTGTATATATTAGGGGAATTAGGGGACCGACTGTTTGATATTCTGCTGGGGGTGGGTCCCTAACATTCTTGAAAAAAATAATTATGCTTCGGACTGTTGAAAGAAAAGGAACTGCCAGCCACAAAACATATATTGTTTCAAGGTGTTTCTCTTTAAAGGGGTACACCACAAGCTTTTAAAACGTGGGCGTTTTCTGTCAATAAATAATTATATTACTCTCAATTCACAGACTGTTGTGATGAACTACACGCCCCAATGTTCCCGCAAAACCTATAACGAACACTGTGTGTGAGTATCAGCTTGCTGTATTCTGACCCTAACCAAATAATTTACGAACTGACCCGAACTCGCTCCGAATGCCAACCAGGAAGTTTTTCATTGACATATACAGGCGACCTATCGGTTGACAGAGTGATTGACAGAGTGATTTACATATAGACACTGGATGTATGATCCCCGCTCCCTGTTTACACTCGCTATCGACTCAAAGGGTTCAAGGGGCATATATCTATCTACTTGTCGATACATTTCGAGGAACTTTATCGCAGGACACTTGAACTATCTGGTCACATTGTCCCAGGTATGATGTGTCTGAGAGCCACGTCAGAGTGATATCAGTGTCGAGGTAGAGTGTGGTATTAATGTACAGGACAAGAGATACCGGTGGCTAGGTAGTGTCTGGTCGTATGTGCCTGAGAAATGCTCGTACCGAGGTAGTGTTTGGTCGTATGTACGACAGAGATACTAGTGGTTGGTCGTATGTCCGTCAGAGATACTAGTGGTTGGTCGTATGTCCGTCAGAGATACTAGTGTGTGGTTGTATGTACCTCAGAGATACTAGTGGTTGGTCGTATGTACCTCAGAGATACTAGTGGCTGGTCGTATGTACCTCAGAGATACCAGTATCAAGGTAGTGTCTGGTTGTATGTACCTCAAAGATATCAGTATCAACGTAGTGTCTGGTCGTATGTACATCAGAGATACCAGTAACAAGGTAGTGTTTGGTTGTTTGTACCTCGTAGATGCCAGTATAAAGGTAGTGTCTGGTCGTTTGTACGTCAGCGATACCAGTATCAAGGTAGTGTCTGGTTGTATGTACCTCAGAGATACCAGTAACAAGGTAGTGTTTGGTTGTATGTACCTCAGAGATACCAGTAACAAGGTAGTGTTTGGTTGTTTGTACCTCGTAGATAATAGTATAAAGGTAGTGTCTGGTCGTTTGTACGTCAGCAATACTAGTATCAAGGTAGTGTCTGGTTGTATGTACCTCAGAGATACCAGAACCAAGGTAGTGTCTGGTTGTATGTACCTCAGAGATACCAGTAACAAGGTAGTGTTTGGTTGTATGTACCTCAGAGATACCAGTAACAAGGTAGTGTTTGGTTGTTTGTACCTCGTAGATAATAGTATAAAGGTAGTGTCTGGTCGTTTGTACGTCAGCAATACTAGTATCAAGGTAGTGTCTGGTTGTATGTACCTCAGAGATACCAGAACCAAGGTAGTGTCTGGTTGTATGTACCTCAGAGATACCAGTAACAAGGTAGTGTCTGGTTGTATGTACCTCAGAGATACCAGTATCAAGGTAGTGTCTGGTTGTATGTACCTCAGAGATACCAGTATCAAGGTAGTGTCTGGTTGTATGTACCTCAGAGATACCAGTATCAAGGTAGTGTCTGGTTGTATGTACCTCAGAGATACCAGTATCAAGGTAGTGTCTGGTTGTATGTACCTAAGAGATATCAGTATCAGGGTAGTGTCTGGTTGTATGTACCTCAGAGATACCAGTAACAAGGTAGTGTCTGGTTGTATGTACCTCAGAGATACCAGTATCAAGGTAGTGTCTGGTTGTATGTACCTAAGAGATATCAGTATCAGGGTAGTGTCTGGTTGTATGTACCTCAGAGATACAAGTATCAAGGTAGTGTCTGGTTGTATGTACCTAAGAGATATCAGTATCAAGGTAGTGTCTGGTTGTATGTACCTCAGAGATATCAGTATCAGGGTAGTGTCTGGTTGTATGTACCTCAGAGATATCAGTATCAGGGTAGTGTCGGGTTGTATGTACCTAAGAGATATCAGTATCAGGGTAGTGTCTGGTTGTATGTACCTCAGAGATACCAGTATCAAGGTAGTGTCTGGTTGTATGTACCTAAGAGATATCAGTATCAGGGTAGTGTCGGGTTGTATGTACCTCAGAGATACAAGTATCAAGGTAGTGTCTGGTTGTATGTACCTAAGAGATATCAGTATCAAGGTAGTGTCTGGTTGTATGTACCTCAGAGATATCAGTATCAGGGTAGTGTCTGGTTGTATGTACCTCAGAGATATCAGTATCAGGGTAGTGTCGGGTTATATGTACCTAAGAGATATCAGTATCAGGGTAGTGTCTGGTTGTATGTACCTCAGAGATACCAGTATCAAGGTAGTGTCTGGTTGTATGTACCTAAGAGATATCAGTATCAGGGTAGTGTCGGGTTGTATGTACCTCAGAGATACAAGTATCAAGGTAGTGTCTGGTTGTATGTACCTCAGAGATACCAGTATCAAGGTA